GAGGATCTTACCAAAAAATCTATTTCTCTCGAGAGAATACACAGAACTGAACTATCAGATATCCCCGCTTGGATCATCAAACAACCCAGTGTCATAATGAAACTGAGTGAGCTTCCAAAAATAATTCATCCATTATATACTTCGAAAAATTCTGAAAATCAGTGAAAAATATTAAAATCATATAAGCATATTCACTGATGTCTCTAAAGATAGAGAAAGAACAGGCTGTGCTGTAGTACTCAACCAAAGTACATTTAAAAAATGCTTACCAAAGGAAGCATCTATCTTTAGTGTAGAAGCTTACCCATTGGATCTGGCATTGACTCATATGGCTACAAACAAATATGATAAATTCATAATATTCTCAGATTCACTATCTGCACTTATCTCACTAAAGAGGAAAAAACTGGAAAATCCACTTATAAAACTCCTCAAAAAGATACATGCCATGCACAAAACTAAAGAAATCATATTTTGCTGGTGTCTGAGTCACATTGGAATTAAAGGAAGTGTAATGAGTTGGTCAATCAACTTGACACCCCCAAAGTGAGTGGAGGTGGGCAGGCGCAGGAACTGTGATTGGTAGCTGGCTTGTTGGTGTTTTGCATAGGTGAGTTACCAAGCTCTATGTAAAGGGCTGGAATGAGAAGGAGGGCAGTTTTTTTCAGTCTCAGAAGTGGAGACTGTGTCCGTCGCTATGACAGCAGGAGAAAAAGAGACGAAATCATTTATTTTTTTTGTAACACATTCCAACACAGGAAGTGATAGAGCAGACTCAGCAGCCAAATCAACTGCAGGAATGGTAATAGATCCCAACATCAAAATTCCCTACACTGATGCAAAAGTTATTATCAATAAGTACATCAAAGAAAAATAGCAACAGTTGTGTAAAAACAAACCTCAGAACAAACTATTCCAAATAAAGCCCAGCCTGAGAGAATGGACAACAAAACTTCCAAACTGAAAAGAGGAGTATTTTTGACCCGATTGCACATTGGTCATTCATGGCAGACACACACAGTTATACTAAAAAAAGAGGAACAGCCATAATGTGCATATGATAAAGTAATCACAATTAAATATATCCTCTTGGAATGTGAAAGGTTGTCACAAGTCAGAAGGAGGTGTTATCAGGAAGGGAGCCTGGCTAAACTCTTTCAGCAGCCAACAAATAAAATTAAGGAATTCCTAAGGAAGACAAATATACGCTATAAAATATAAAGAAAATTTTTAAAAATGTTAAACGTTTTATACCAGTATTTGTATATATACACACACACACACACACACACACACACACACACACATATATATGTAAGCAAATGTAAATGGATATAGATCCGACAGAATGAAGAAAAATTTGGAAAAAACAAACAAAAATCCTTAAATGCAATTATGTTTAAAATGAATGAAATGTCGACGTTGTGGCACAATAGTAAAAATAAGAAAATCAAGTTGAAGTTGGTTTAAAGAACAAGTGTATTTAACATCACAGATACAAAGGTAGGAAACGGGTACTACTCAGCTAGGCAGTTGTAGTACTGTCGCTGCTTACCCTAGGTAGGTATTACTGGCACTATATATAGTGAGAACCGGTGTAATTCCCTTGTGTTAGAGGGCGGTGCAACACCCCCTTTGAAAATATCCCGTCTGGGAATTAATAACGTTTTTGTTTTGGGTTCACCTAATCAACTCCGTTGATTTCCGTTTTCTTTCTGACCTCCTATTCTCAGGAGCTGTCTCTGGTATGGGCACCTGAAAAGTATCAAACACTGTCCATGATGTCCTCCTCGGCGATCTGGTCACCTCACTGTTCAGTATCTTTTCGGATTTGGTTAGTGTGACGTTTGTGCATGAAATCTGGTCCCTTAATCCTTATAGACCATGTTGCCTATTTGTTTCTCAATAGTGCTGGACTCCCAAAAGGTCCTAATATTTCTATGCATCTTGTAGAAAACTCTTTTCGTAACTTTATACGTTTTTTTTGTTATCGGTTTTTTGAGGTTTGGCCTATCCTGGTTTGATAACAACTTGTGGAAAATTGATCTAACCTTGCGTCAGAACATGACCTCAGCAGGTGTCTTCGACGTTTCGATGTTTGCATTCGGAGTGACCCTGTAAGAACTGTTGGATTGACTTATCCGTCGGTGATCCACTAGCCTTTCTCAGGGCTCTCTTGAACGTATCCATGAATCTCTCCGCTTGCCCATTGCTTCTTGGATGGTATGGTGGAATGGTTATATGCTCGATTAGATAATCCTCGCAGAGATGTTTAAATTCAGTAGACGTGAATTGCGTTCCATTGTCTGTGACAATGCAGTCTACAACTCCAAACCTAGCAAATAGTTCATACAGGAAGTTAATAGCTGCCTCAGATGTGGGGTTCTTAGATTTCAGTACTTCCGGCCACTTAGATAGACTGTCTATAACAATGAGATAGTAGAAACCATCTAACGGTCCAGCAAAATCCAAGTGAATTCTCGACCAAGGTCGGTCGGTTTTGCCCACGAACCGAATTGAGTCGGAGGAGCTTTCATAGCTAATGCATCCTCTACACTCCTGACTTTTTCTTCTATATCCTTATCCATGTTTGGCTAGAAAACGAAAGAGCGCATAAGGCTTTTCATTCTTGATATGCCTGGATGTCCTACATGGAATTCCTTGAGCATTCTTTTCTGTAATGTCGTAGGAATTACGACCCTGTCGCTATATAACAGGACGTTATCACAAATTGAATAAATTTCCTCATCCAGTTGTTTTCTTTCATGCTTATAATAAATTCGTCCACTTCTGCCTTACTCTTAATCTCATCAAGCGTTACTGGAAGTTCTCTTATCGTGTCACATAAAGTATTTTTTACTTCAACTTCCGCAGGAATGGCTGCTATTACCATATCCTCTGTGTGCTTAGGTATTAGCCTTGATAAGCCATCTGCATGACCAAGTTTTTTAAATGGTACATACTCTATTTGAAAATTATAATTCAGAAGAATGGTACCCCATTTTTGGAGTCTATTCGCCGTATGTTGTGGTAGTCCCTTTTTCAATCCAAAAATCGTTAGTAAAGGTTTGTGATCTGTTTGTAACAGAAATTGTCTACCGTGCAAGAAACGATGAAATTTCTTTACTGCGAATATAATGCTTAGCGCCTCTTTCTCAATTTGCGAGTAGTTCTTTTCGGCTGGTAAAAGTGAACGGGATGCATGGGCTATGGGTTTTATTTTTCCATCATCCATTTTGTGTAGTATGCATGCTCCTATGCCATAGGCACTGGCATCGCTTGCAACTATAATATCACGCTTGGGATTATAATGTGCCAGAAACAAGTCAGACGTTAATATATCTTTAATTTCCTGAAATGCTTCTTCACACTCTTGCGTCCAGACCCATTTTTGGTCCTTCCTTAACAATTCATTTAAGGGTGATCTTAGTTTATGCATATTTGGCACAAATACTTTGTAATAATTCGCCAACCCTAAGAAACTTTGTAGAGACGCAATATTTTCTGGAGCAGGCATGTCCCTTATTGCACTCGATCTATCTGGATCCGGCCTTCTTCCATGTTCATCGATAATTTGCCCCAAGTATTTTATCTTTTCCATGAAAAAGGTACATTTTTCCTGTTTCAGTTTAAATCCATAATCCTGGATCCTTTTGAATACTTGCTTTGCTAGCGCTGTTCATTAACACATCGTCCAGGTACCCTACTGCGAAGTCCAGCCCACTTAACATCATGTCCATTGTTTGCTGAAAAATCACAGGGGCGACTTTGACGCCAAAAGGAAGTCTGTTAAACTTGTATAATCCCTTATGGGTATTGATGCATAGCAGCTTTGAACACTCCTGATCGACTGGGATTTGTAAATACGCATCACTGAGGTCGATTTCAGAAAAATATTTCCCTCCACTCAGTTTCGCAAATATTTCTTCAGGGCTCGGAAGGGGATAATGGTGATTCTTTAATGCATTATTTAAACCTGTTGAGAAATCGGCACAAACCCTAATCTCCTTGCTCTTCTTTTTAGTGTAAACTGTTGGTGTAGCCCACTCACTGTGATCAATTTTTTCGAGGACACCCATGTTTTCGAGTCTTTCTGATTCACCGTCTATTTGTTCTATAGCGGCGTATGGAACCTTTCTTTTCTTTTTGAACACTGGCTGTTCATTTTCTTTGACTTCAAATTTTGCTACCGCTTTTGTACACCTTCCAAGACCGCCTGTAAATACGTCTTGTGTTAGAGGCCGGTGCAACAATATATATATAATAATTTTAATTTTTTTGACTGTACAAACAAAAGAAAAAAAGTGCTACATATTGACTTTGTTTTCCAAAAATATATATATTTAATGCTATTACTTGTATATTTATATTCATATTTTTCATGAACAAAACGATATTTATGTTTAAATTATATATTTATAGTTAAATCTTTAAATGTGTGCATATACTAACTTCTTGACGTCATTTTAACATTTAAAAATCTTTGCTACATAATAAACTTTATTTTCAAATTATGTATAAACAGTACATGGCTTTAAATGACCCAAAAGCATTGATAGGCCATAAAATGCAAACAAACCAAATCAAGCTTTCTTGTGTTTAAAAAAACACCTCACATCATGGCAATGTTACAGGCCAACACCATATCATCTCCACACCCAGCAATGGGGTTGTCCACATGTAAAATTGATCTCACCAGCAACATTGAATTTGAATCTATCCAACAATCAACCGACAGTTGATACCTGAGCCCCATAACACAACAAAGTAATTCTCCAATTACCACCCTTTTGTTTAAGCAACAAAAGAAAAAAAATCACTACTGCCTTTTTTTTTTGTCTTTTAAAATGCCTAAACAAAGTGGAATTTTTTTTGTTTTACGTCAACAGGCAGCTTCTAAAATCTGATTTCAATTTAACTCCCCCCTCAACAATATTTTGTTTATTCCACTTAATAATAGCAAAGACTTTTGACAATAAAATCTCTGTCATTAAATTAAGCTTGCCTCTCCCCTTCCCAACAGCAGAAAACAGTATGCTCACTCTGTAATGAAGTCTCTCTCCCTTCCTCCTTCACTGCAATTAGTAATTACTACTTCAACTGGGTTTCATCACAGGGCCATTATCTTTCTTTCTTTTACTTGACTCTGTTCTCTACTTCTTTTTTTGTTAAATTTTATTTCTTTCAACTGCTTTTAGAGTTAGGAGAAAGGTGTTTCATCCTCCTCTTCCCAATCAGTTCTTCTTCGCCTTCAGGAGGTTTCGAACCAGAACACAAAACTCCATCATTTAGGTTCTTTACACTCATCCAATGACGGTCTCTTTATTTTTCTTATTACATGGGCCACCTTCCCTCTTGCTTCTTGTGCTGGGGCAGCCCTTGTCTGCTGAGGGTGTATCTGTTGACTTGGGCTCCAAAGGCTCGCTCTTCTTGGTCCCCCGTCTCATGGCCACAATGACTGCCCCTGGTGCATCTCGGCTGATCGTTTTCCAGGGGCAACCCCCATTTTGTTGGGCAGTCCACTACCCTATGGCCTTTGTAACAACAGGTTCACCATCTCAGCCCTAACTGGTCCAGTGTGGGTTTTAAAGATCCATGTCCCAACGCCCTTCTATTGGGAACTTCCTACACCATGTGGGTGGTTGGGATGTCCTACCCTTGCCCTGTTTGCCTACCTACTGACTCTGTGCCTGTGTTCCCATCCATTTCACTTTTTCCAAAATTCTCTGGCTTTTCTTTGCTAATGCGATAGCTGCTGACAGCTTGACTGGGGCCTCCTTAATCACGTCATGCCTTATGCACTCATTTTGGAGGGCCTCCAAGTACAAGTTAGCCAACTGGACCCGTATGGCTGCATTTTCCTTAACTTCTTTCTGAAATGCCAGGACAGCCAATTCCTCATTCCTTACTCCCAATTCTTTGGGAAATTCGCATTTCGCATGGGCCAGCTTCATAAGGCCTCTCATTGCCTCCACTATCGTCCCCTCATCTGCATATTTGGTTACTAATAACCTCTTCAATTCAGTCCAGCTCAGCTGTGGGTCCCTTGCTTACTGGTCCCTTATAAATTCTGATTCCAGTGCCTCTGCCACTTTGTATGTCAGATGCACCATCTCCCTCTCAGACAGCTGATGTTTGAGCCGTCCTTTCCTAATAGATGCCAACCAGTTCCTTAATTTCCCTGGGCTTACTCTAAAGGCTGAAACTTTGGGTCCTCCCAGTAACTTACACAGACCGGTTTGTTACCTGTAGGAGTGCACCGATTAATTGGCCACTTCACCGATTAATCGGTTGATTTGCCGATTAATCCGCCGATGAATTACTTTTCTCTTTCCTATTAAATTTAAGCCATTAATCAATGCCAAGTGACTCATCAGTTAGCTTTGACACATTAACACAGTAACTGCCAATTTTAACTTGACATTTGTTAAGTGTATGGCTGCTATTATGGCTTTTTGCCTTTTTTTTACTTTATTAAATGAAATTACAAAATACAAAGTAAAATTTCCAATTCTTAAATGAATATAATTAAACAACTAGATGAGAAAAAAAGAAATTACAAACAAACTACAAAGTACAAATTCCAATTCTTAAGTGAATAACTATAAGCTGAAGTTCTGCTTCCACTGGAGCATGCTGCAGTGGTTACCTCTGCTCTGCACCTGCTGCTGCTCTACTTCCTCTTCTATTCTTGCTGCCTGCCTCCTCTGCTCTCATAGTCTCATAAGTATTTAAGTTGTAATGTAGAAACATTAGAGTTTCTCCATTCTCAGGACACAGCCTGTTCCTCGTAGGTTCATACACATTACCACCTGTACTAAAGAGCCTCTCACTCTCCACGGATGAAGGTGGTGCGCTTAAATATTTTGAAGCCAGTTTACTCAGCAGTGGTAAGGTCTCCTGTGTTTTTTTTCAACCACTGAAATGGATCATCACCTCTTGCGAGTAGTGGTAAAGCTACATAATCCTGATTCTGCTTCATTATCATCAGTAGAAAGTAGATGTAGAATTCAATTCTTAACGGTGTTTTCCATGTCATTTTTGTTTAAATTTGAATCTTGGATCTAGGAAAGTAGACACACACAAGTTTTTATCATTTAGATAGGATGAAAATCTTGTTTCCATTGATTCACTGAATTGTTCAACAGTGGTAAGAAGGATTCCACTAAAGTCAGAAATATCAGAATTAGATTGGACAGCTTTTGACAGAAATAACCTCAGAGCTAAAATTGTAGGTATTCACATTGATATGGTTGAAGTTCTGTTACTTGCTTCTTTGGTGATTTTTTCAAATGGACTCAGTAACTGGACAATTTTTTGAACAAGTCCCCCTTTTAAGTTGTTAAGGTAGGAATCTTATTATCAACAGCATACATTACAAGAACTTTTCGTTGTTCTAAATTTCTTTTCAGCATATAATATGTTGAATTCCACCGTGTGGTCACATCTTAAATAAGTTTGTTTTTCCAAATTAAGCTGATCCTGTATTTCAGTTAATTTGCTAATGGAGAGTGATTAAAGTAAGAGACTTTATTTCTGTTAGTTGTAATGATTGTCTTCACAGCCTGTTGGGAAAATAATGAGTCATTTATTGAGAGTTGCAATGTATGTATGAAGCATGATAGTGACTCTAAACCACATTCCCTGACACCAGCAACCATATTTGCTCCTGAATCCCGCAAGACTAAGAAAACTTTATTGAAGATTTTATACTCATCCAGAACATTGTGCAATTCTTCACTTATTCTTGCACCTGTGTGTGTACCAGGAAATGGAACAACTCTAAGCACAGCTCTGCACTGTTCAAAGTCATTTGAAAGCCAATGACCTGTCAAACTCAGAAAGGGAGCATTATTTGTAGTAGCTGTCCAAATGTCTGTAGTCAAAGAAATGCTGCTAATTTCATCAAGAGACGATTGAATTTTTGTTTTTACTTTTGTAAATATATCTGAAATTATTTTTTCAGTGAAGTACTTTTTTGATGGAATACTGTAATTTGGACAGAGTTTTGCAATAATTAAATCCAAATTCAGATGTTACAGAATATGGTTGAATATCAACAGCAATCATTTCTCCTATCAGATAATGGATCTCTTGTGACCTGTGGTCATTAATATCGCAAATTTTCTTCTTAGCCAATATTGATTCTATAGTAGTTTGGTGTTTTGCTGGAGGCTCGTAGTTGCTGCCACTTGTTCCTGGAATGTCTGTCCCTGAACATTCATTGTGTTTCCTTATCTGCAACTTTTGCTTCTTCTGGATGAACTTTTCTAAGATGGTTTAATATATTAGTCATTGTAAAAGTTTTTGCTGATTTGCCACCCCTTGATATGATGGCTTGACATAACTTGCAGGCAGATGTATTCTTATTCTTGGGATTGATATCAAAATACTTCCAGCAGAAACTGGTTGCCATAATGGTTGATGGTTGTTGTCAATAGTTAATTAATTTTTTACGTATTTAAATTACTTATGTCTGATATCTAATTAGTAATTTATCTGAATAAAATATGCATTATCTAAACCAGAAAAATAAAAATATATATGTAATGGTAGCATGGGTCCAAAAATGAGGAACAAGAGTATGACTGATGAAGAATGCTTTATTTTCAGTTTGCACGTGGTCGCAATTTACCGTACAATTCCTCAATGTGAAAACTGAAAAATAGAGTAATAATTTTCTTTGACAGTGACTTAAAGTACAAATTAATAATGTTAATTCGATAGGAAGCGAAAGGAGAGAAATTTTCCATATGCTTACCTCTCATTGCCTCAAATTCAGCCCAGTCGCAAAAGGCTACATGTTAGCAGTGTGCCATGCCTGTTATTTGAAAATACAGTGTAGACGGTGCATGTCCCTTCGATGAATTTTCACCGGCAAGCAAAAAAGGGCGTTAACTAGTCTTCATTTACAATATAATTAAATTAATATTAGTATCATTTATGACAACAAAATTTGCTGATAAATCGGCATTAGAAAACCGGTAATTGGCCGATTATCCCAGGCCAATTAATCAGCCAATTTGCTTATCGGTGCATCCCTAGTTACCTGATACCCAACCATTTCATCCTCAACCTCTACCCTGCCAGATTCTTCAGACACATGCTCACTCATCCCTATCAGGTCACTATCTTCCTAACCCAGAAAAAGAGAGTCAGTCTAGCAACCTAAATGTCCACAAAAAAAAAATTTGGAAGAACTTGGAAAAATCAAGAACAGATAAAAAAAAATTCTGATGAGACATAACAACAAAATACGAGAAATACTGGAAAGTGTACTACCTGTCACTTGTCCTACAGTCTTCTTGGTTGTTGTGTGCCTTTTTTTTTTTCTCCCTCAGAACTGTATGATCAAAACAACCAAAAGTTTCTTGGTTATATTCATTCTTTTTTCTTTTATTTTTTCCCCTTTGCGTTTTTGTGATTGATCATCCATTCCTGTGCCAGACACGGTTACCCGAAGGTGAATCCATTGGTCACTGGCACCAAATATAATGCTGCAGGATGTCTGTCCCTTGTGCTACATAAGAACACAGTCTCATTCTCAGCCATCGGTGTGTCCATTATTGAATCTTGTGGCTAACCATAAAGTTGGTCACTTTGATCCAAGTTTCACCCTGTCCCAATTATGTTTGTTTTGATCACAAGGTAGGCAAGGATCTAGGCTGGACGATGTTATAAGACAAAAAAAAAAAAAGTAAGTTGTGTAAATCAACATGGTTTATATAACTGAGTTTTATGCAGGAACATCTTTTCATATAAGAATCTACAAGCATGAAGGCTAATGACTATTCTCTCATAGTCTAATTTCATAGCACTTTGTTCTTTGTTTCCAAGTCGGAGTCAAGGTTTCAAACTTTAAGTCAGAGACTTCTTCAGGCAGTAAATTACGGAATGCTGACCAAGCACTCATCTTCCCCTCTCTCTTTGTTGTTATATAGAGACTTTCAATCCTTCCACTTTGCAATTTCATCAGGGCACTCTGCTCAATTTATCTAATATTCTGGAACAAGGCATGAGTCAGTATTATACTGGAACATACCTATTCTGTTGTTAATAGACTCTCCCACATATAATGAGTAGTAGCAGTTGCCAGGGGGCTCAGAGAGTTGATGAGTGAGTTGATGTTGGACATTAAAGTATCAATCACCACAACTAGATTGCTGCGTCATTAACTCTTATAACAAGTTCCTAACATTTTGTATGTCGAACCTTTTTAGGACCGACTTAGTGAAATACAAGCCTCCACTGTGAAGCTACTCTATAACAACTTTGGCGACCAGGATTCGAAACTCATACGGAGAAAAAAAAATT